TGCATGCATTATAGATCAGGAACTATTCAGAGACAATTTAGTGTTTGTTATTGGAATGAATGGTCGACTATATCAGTATAACAAAGTGACTGGATTGTGGCATGAGCATCACCAGTCTCAACATTTGATTCTATCAAGATTGCCAGGAACTGCTATGAGGCCATCATTGCAATCATTGACAGGCTCACTTTTCATGCTTATGGAAGATGGAGGACTAGTTGAATATCATTGGAACACATGGGATGGGTGGAATTGGGTAGAACATGGCACTCCATCTAAAAGTGTGACCTTAGTCAGTTCACCTGGCCCTTGCTTTCAAGGTAATCAATTGTTTTTGGTTGGCTCAGATGGAAATGTGTATTTGAGGTACATGGACCAGCTGACGTGGAGATGGAAAAACTGTGGTTTTCCTAATCTTGGAAAGATAATAACTGAAGATCAAATGCAAGTTGGAGGCGAATATAGGGATGACGTTTGTATTGACAAAGATTTGGCAGCTAGCTTGGAGAAGGATTCAGGAGAGCTCAAAGATGCCCAAACAAACTGTGACCCGAAGGTCAGTCTGACAAAAAACTTTAGTGCTAAAATACTTTATATGTGAAATTTGATGCTGAATCTCCGAAATTTACTCAGGTGGCATCTACGAGACCAATTCCATTTTCAGAGGATTCAGTAATCTTTGAGCTAAGAGATGGCAGAGTAAGTTGTCACCCTTTACAAACTACTTCCATTTCAAATTTTCCTGGAAGCAATTCAAATTAAAAGTTGGCATCCAGCTTAGTAACATCTACACTTGAAAAAAAAGTGCTGAACTTTACACAACAAGCACATGAAACCTATAGTACTAAATATTCATGAACACAACATACAAGCAAATACATCAACTTGTTCATAAATATCTCCTGGAAGAAATCAAACATTGACAATAAGAACTGGCCTCAAATACGCAAGCTAGAAGACATTAAAATATGAGAAACTGCATAAATAAACAGACAGAAACTTAAATAGGAATATTCTTTCTATACAAAATTCATTAACTTCTCTCAAGCTTCAAGTTCAAGAATAACTTAAAGATCAATAGAATTCTGATGGAACGTGCCAAATCTAGTAGATCCTTTAAGAAGAATCCTAAAGCATAAAAATAAGGCTTCGCTAACATCATGATTTACTGGCAGTTGGCAGAAATGCAGCAAATAGAGGAGACACAATGGATTTGGTCTCGAATTATTGGCACTCCAACAAGCTTATGCATAGCCGATTATTGGACTGCTCTGGCATCATGAAGTTAAGAGACTTAGTTAAACTTGAAAATGGGAAAGCATCGATATACTGCTTCACCGTCATGAAGCTAATAAAATACTGAAGCTCAATACACAGCTTGCATCAAGAAAAACCAATATAAGCAATCATGCCTTATGTTCCTTTAGTATAGAGATATATAGTAAGGAAGACAAACAAGAGGAACTTTATAGACCACTCAGCTCTCTGTACAGTGAAAGAATTCAATGAAAGGTACTATCTAATATATCATCAATCAGCAGGTATATTTTTCCACGAGGTAAAGGCTTGGTGATAGGGAAGTTTCAAATAGAACCTGACACTTGATCATTGAAGAACATGAAAAACCTATGCAAACACAATCCTAATCCCTATACATTTCAAGCTCCTTTCAATAATTATAATCAACGAAATTTTCATCAGATATTAATTTCCCTAAATGTGAAATGTATCTGGATGGTTTTCAAGAGTGATTATCAGGATGGTAAATAGTATGCTGAATTATGGTACTTTCCTCTTGCTTGGATAAACCGCCCATGCCAAGCAGAGTAATGTTTAATTGAACTGATTTGCAAGGGCATATTTAAAATATTCTATCATAATGTGATCATTCCATAGGCTCACCCACGTGTTTAACCTACTCAGTTAGATACATCTCTCGACTGAGCATATATCAAGTCCTCTTTCCCCCTATTCTGCATTGTTGTCTACAGAATAGTCAACACGAACACAGCAGAGAGAAAATAAAAGAAAAAATATACTGTTGGTTTTGACTCATTTTACCAGTAGCACCGTGACTCAAGGTTCTGGTTTACTACACTGAAAATGGCATTCCATCCGTAAATCTTTTCATAATCCTCAAAACTAACAAACAAGAAGCAACCACACACCAATAACTTTTGCATTCTTCTTCATATGATGTAACTCGACATAAATCACGATTCACGGCAAATGATGGAGACGCTAGAGCGAATTTGCTTCTTTCCAAGTTAAAAGCATGTAATGAAACAATGACGAGCATTGAACAACCGGTCGACTCCGATTTCAGTAGAAATCAATAAGATACATTGCTCATGGACTTGAAAACTACAAGGAAAATTAAGGAAAACCAAAACAAGCGAAATTCTCAAGACGCTTGATTAACACTGAGCAGCAAAGCAAATTATGCCAAGATTTCATAGTTCCCGCGAATAGAATATGTGAAATACATTGCAAACAAATAAAAAAGAAAAATCATAACAAACATGAGAAGCAGCGGAGGAATTATATAAAAAATGATAATCAAATATACGAAGGAGAAAATCCAGGTATGTAGATTGTTAATGAGAACTTACTGCAAGTGCATTCAAATCGAGTCGTCTGCTCCATAAGACCGGGAAGCTTTACATGAAGGAAATGGCGCCGTTGCAAATTTTCCGAAGGATCTGTGTATTTTGTATGAGACACTTGTGTTGATTGGGCCTCGGCCCATTTATGTTTTTAATGGGGCATAACCGTAGAATAAAATGATGGTGAATCAGCCCATTTAAGACTACTCTTTTTTCAGTTTGGGCATTTATTTATTTTTGACTTTTTCAAGTTTCAACTCAAATATTGTTATTTGAGTATGATTATTCATTTAGAAGGTGAAGTTTGGTTGTTAGTCATTCATATAACATTCTTAATTTACTTACATGCATTTTTAAAAAATATTTTGTTACATAAAATCACTGACAATCAGACATTATAAAATTTGAAATTAAAAATTTTTTAGATAATTATTTATAGTAATTTTATTTAAATAAAAATCAAGAATATACGAACAAAATTTAAAATCATAATGTCATAAATTCATCCATTTTTTGGGTCCGGGGGCACAGTAGTGGTAAACACCCTAGTCTGAGGTTTTCATTGCTCGATTTCGAGCCCCCGTGTGTTACGAACGTATTCGGACTAATTAGAAAGGTTCATTACATTTTACTTAAAACAATGACTAAAATTTTACTCAAGAGTCATAGTCTGGATGTGTCGCATAATACCATATTTAACACTATTACTTAAAATTGAAGTCCACCCGCGCAATCGAACAAAATGTGAAGTTTAGTGATTTGATATTTCCTTCAGACCAGTTCCGATAAGCAACGATGGCTCGTGATATTGATGTTGTCATATACACAAACACAGATATATGTTAACATGTATCACAGAGCCCTCTAACCAAACAGCTTGGGTGAAAGAATAATGTAATGGAAGAGTATTTCATAAGTTACTCACTAAGACTATATTCAAGAAGCATAAGAATATCAGATAAATCCGCCAGGCGAGCTAGCATCATAGAAATCAGTAATCATCCTACTATAATCCCAAGTTACTACGCCCCAAAATTAAGAACCAGCACCAATTAGACAAAAGTATATGATTCAAAGAGGAAGTGAGGAACATTAACCAACCACATTTCCAAATACACATACAGTGAATCTCAAATAGAAATCTTTCGAGCAAAATATGACACCAGAGCCCTCATCAAAAATCCATCAGCCCTCACAATAAATAAAGAAAACATCAGTACCTCCTCCTAGGACTCCTCGAACGATGCGAACGGCCAGATCTGCAAGCATTTTCAAGTTAAAGAAACATGCTTCAGATTCCAAAGACGAAGCCATAATGCAATAATGACAAACTTGAGTACACCAGATAAGAGGAACGTGTTCACGTCAGGTTGCAGAAATTTCAGTCACAGTTCAACAAATACACAAGTAGATCAAAGAGTTCTATATATGACCTCATATAAATTATCCAATCACACTACTGAACACAACCATAAGCAAGCACTTAACACCAACTCTTTTTGTCCAGCAAGCAAATTCTAAGCATGGAATTATATTCTTACACCTTCTACATCCACTGACAAAAGCAACTGTCACTTATAAATTAACACGTATAAGTCAATCTAGATGCAATACCAACTGCACTTTACCATACATGTAACTTTATATAATCTCAAACTAAATAAATTTTAAGGTAGAATCTCCATCCGGCATCTTTCTCCATATGTGATGAATAAAATCACAGCAGAGAATATGAACATCTTAAGAAAGAAAAAAAGAAAAGAAGAATCACCAAAGTCCGCACAGGAGCAAACCTCATGTTCTTTCTTTTGTAGGGTCCAACACTGGGTCCGTTGCTAAAGGCCCAGTCCACGTAGATTGTCTTTGTAAGTAATTCAGCTCCATTCATTGCAGATATTGCATTCTGTGCTTCCTCAAATTTTTCATACTCAATCAACGCATAGCCCTTTAAAAACAACACAAATCATTAAAGGAACACTGTTGATAGACTTGCCAAAAAAGAATACCAGGGAATGAATGAGTAGACATCGTCTCACTTCTCTCTCCCAAAAAAAAGAAGGAACTTTCTCTCTTAAGCAGAAAGAAAGCTTTACAAATTAAGACAAGAAACCAAAATACCTACGAGGTTTCCCTAGATCCTCTTCATTGTTGAGAAGCCGACCATTAAACAAAAAACTCATGATCTGAACCAATAATCTCTAATGCTAGCAAAAGGAGACACTATGCGGTTAAAAACTCTCTTGTTCCTTTCTTTCCAAGTAGCCCAAAAGAGAGCCAACAGTTTAGGAAAAGACAAAGACAAATCCCATGGTTACTAGCCCCAACATACCAAACTAGGAGATTAGAAAAAGCAGTACTTAACTGTTATAGTACAAATAAAGAGCAGCACTTAACTGCTAGTATACAAATAAAAAGCAGCGATATACAGTTACTTTGACAATTGCCCCTGTACTTCCTTTGAACAAAAATGATGTCATTCAAAAGGGATAAGAAGAAGTTGCCATCCACTTACAAACAGTTGGCATAAATTTGTGGCACATGTTTTGCTATACAACACCATCTTCTTAGAATGAGGAAAAGGGAACCACAATAAAATGGGAAGAGCTCTAGTTAGCAATCTATGTATCTGCTGCAACTGAGAAGATCTTATCTATCTACTGTGAATCAGAAATCAAGACAGAATCACCTAGAGTACCCTATCCTTAATCTAACCAAGCACTAATTGCCCCCAAGAACATTTTGTGCCACCAACCAAATTGCATGGATGCCAACTCCATTCACAAAAGGTAAATTCTGAAACTTAAGCCTGACATAATACAACTACCTAAATCAATTAGCTCACACCACGACATGCGCAAAAGCAGTGATAAAACCCTTGTCAACATGTATCAGTACATCTAAACAAGTTGTGCCCTTCTAAAACGAATGGGTAAAACCAATGCCAACGACTTGCAAAGGTCAAAAGTCAAGCCTCAAGAAGAATCTTAAACATCTTCATGGACTTATAATTTTTGAAGCAAGATGATTACCTTAACAAACCCAGTTCGGCGATCAAGATTTAAATGGAGATTCTTCATTTCCCCAAACTCACCAAATGCATTCTGCAAATGATCCTCTTGTGCCTCTTCTTGTACACCAGTAACCAGAATAATCCATCCTTCAATGGCTGCAAATATTTCTTTAGTGAGGCGTATGAAAACAATCATTTCCAAGAGAATTTCAAAAAAAGTTCTACAGCCAGCATAGCTGCCTTGTATTGCTTCCTATGCATAACACATCAACCAATCACCTACAATAAATCTCATTTCTCAAGAAATGAAGCGACGCTGCCTGTTGGTGTTAATCGTGCACAATTTTACTCGCAGAAATAATAACATTTTACCCCATGCCATGATAGTCATAGGCATCTTATGGAATAAAATAATCTGTCTTTTCTAAAGGCATGATCAACAATGTAAACCAGATTCATAATCACCTATTAACCTAACAAATAGGAAGGCAAATGCGACGAAGGGATTACCCACCTCCACTCCAACAAAAATGATGTCACATACAAGCAACTTACATCAAACTTACTAGTCATCATTCAATAATTAAACCATTGAGATATAAATTTGCTTCAATATCTATAGATTATTTTGAGCTACAAATCACTCTCTGAGACGATGCTCTACATCTTTTTAGCATCTAATTAATAGCTCATTTATATAGAAAAAGAAGAATATGTATCTTCAAGGCTCTAGTTATCCTCATACTTGTGCCAGAGGCCCCTTCTTCATTAATTACTTAGTCTAGTAGAAGTGATCTTCACCAAGCTCAAACATACTCGTACTCTCAAGTTTATATGTTATCATACAGACAAAAGCTTAAATATGAGGGAGCAAATCACTTTAATGGAGATTTAAAAAATAGCAAGATGAATTTGCAGAAAGTTCAAGCACATTAGCGTACTTACCCTCTAATTATCCCAACCCCAATTCTTTCGTGATACCAAGCATTTTCAATAACTTCGGCTGAAATCATTCGTTTAAACCCCAAATCTATTCTCTTTCTTCCCTGAAAAACCCTAGCTAGCACCAAACATATATCACTCACAATCATCCAAAACCCTAGAAACCGTAACACCAAACTAAGTCCAACCAAAAACCCTAGAACAAAAGAAGCAAAAAAAAAAAAAGTAGACACGTGAATCTACGTTCATACGTATATAGTTATAAAGTAGAGGGATGTGGAAAACTAACATCGTTGTGGGCCAGGGCCGCCGTCGGAGCCGAGGGAATCGAAGTCTCGGGAAGAGAGGCGGTTGTGGCGTTCGGCATCACCCTCCTCGCGGAATCCACGGCCCTTGGTCTTCTTGGGGGCTAGTGAAGAAGACGCACCGCCGGTGATTGCAGACTTTAGCTTGGGAAGCGGGGCTCGCGGCGACGCATTTCCGTCAGCCGGACCATCCTCGTCCATCAAATCGTCCTCGTCGGGCTCGAAATCCACCGCCTCCACGTCCGCGCTCGCCATCCCTGATGTCTCTCACTCGCTCTTTCTCCCTCTGTGAAAGTCCCCGGTTAGCTCTCTGTCGATAGAAGGGGTTTTAGTTTTGCGATGGCTTGGGGAGCACGATTTTTCTCTCTCTTAAAGTAGAGTCAAGAATCAAGATTGCTGCCTTCGTTTATAGGACGGGTACCTGGGCCTGAGAGGGTTATGGTTCGGATTATCGGGTTCGGGTTATCGGTTTCGGGTTATTGGTTCGGGTATTTAATGAATTGGGTTTTATTAAATCGGGGCCTTGTAAATTGGTTGATTATCAACCGAACATGGAGTAAGAATATATTTATTTATATATGTTATCTTGTTTCTGTATTTTTATTGTCTTAATATGTATAATTAATTTTATCCAATTGAAATGAAGATAATATTTTAAAATATAAAAATTGTGACACTTTAATTGACCTCACAATAATAATAACTTCAAGAATATTAATATCGTACATTTTAAAATTTTATAATATATTTTTAAAAAAAAAATTAATAATTATGTATTAAAAGTTACGGATTACTAAGTAACTTAATATTTGTACGTCAATTTTGTAAGGTATGCATAAAATTTAAGTCAATATATGCTCTCGTATTTATATTAATATTATAATTATTATACGTATATCATTTAAATAATAATTTATTAATTTTAAATTTTATTTTTAAAAAAAAAAATTAGTAGAGAATTTTGTGAATTGATATGTCAATTATTATTTAAAATATCGTGAGTTTAAATTAAATTATATTCACGAACTTATTTTTAATATTATGACTATTAATCAGAATACGTGTTTAATTTGAGTTGGGATCGAGTTAGCGAAAAAGATTAAGAGATTGGGACGCGTTCAGGTTTGACATTCTAAACCCAACCCAGTATATATATTTTTTTAAATATGTATTATTATTAATATATGTAAAAATTTTGTGAAAAATATTAATATTTTTATATAAAAATTATTTTATATATATAAAGAAAATTGATAATAAATAAATGGGCCGAGAAAGCCCAACAAGCGGGATAGTGTTGCAAAAGACAAGGGAAGGAGAAGGAATTAAGACAAGAGAGAATGGCGCCAAGGCTTGTCGGGGAGCAACAAAACAAGACACGAAGAGGCGTCTCGTGTTCTTCCTTAATTTCACCTTGCAAATACCAAATTTAAAATAAATAAATAAATAAATAAAAACCGGTCGCCTCTCCTGTCTCTCGATGTCTTATAGGTTTTTTAATACATAATATTCTAAATAATTACCATATTTTAAATAATTAAAATAAACAACGAATTTTATATACTCAATAAAATAAAACTATATATTATTTTATAATGATTTTAGTGAAACTATATGTTATTTTATAAAACTTTATAAAATTAAAGACAATATTATATGTACAGAAGTGGGGGCCACGATATGACGTATCATGCATTTCAATATAAATTTGGTGGCATATTATAAATAATTGAATGTTTTTTAATTTCTGATTAACATTAATTTTTCTTTTTTTTTTTAATGAAACTCACATGATTGTTTTTTTTTTGTTTTTTTTTTTTTTCAGTGTACTGAAAAAGTAAAGTAATGAGTTGCAAAAGAAAAAAAAAATTAATTGGTGAATCATGTAATCAAAATAATTGTGGGGACAGATTATAAAAAAATAATAATAAATAAATAAATATATATTGGGATCAAATCAATTGATGTCATGTGAATTATATCAATACTTACACACACACACATATATATATACACACACACTACACGTATTTATATATATATATATATAGTCAAATATTAATTTAATGTGAAAAAAAAAAAATGTTTGAGCTTTTTTTTGTAATTGTGGGAAACATTTTAAATTTTATGCTTCAATCAAAATTTTAAATTTTTAAAATTTATTCTTGGTACAATTTTATAATGGGTAAACTTTCATCCTTTATTATTTATATAGTATAGTTTAATTCAAATTTATAATAAAATATTTTATTATTTATATCGTGTATTAAAATTTGTTTAAAATA